ATAACAAAGAAAATCTTTGACGCAATCACGCTTGAATTATATATATAGCACGTGCTGATCATAATTATTAAGGTTAATCTTTACCAATCATATTCACTTTCATGGGCTGACAAACACTTTTAATACTGTATAACGACAAAGATTTAAAGTTTAGCTGGGTAGCAACAAAGGAGTTTGATATTCATCTTTGGTTATCTGTTAGCATCTGGTTAAAAATAAGTTTAGAAAATCATGTTATACTACGTAATAAAATAATAAGCATAATTTTACATCTTTGTGTATATTTCTTTGATTTCCACACATAGATCGATCTAGAAAGGTTATCGTTATTTTATATACTTACTGTATATGCCCATTAAAAGAGCAAATTAAGCAGCTGGGCGTTTTGTAACAACGTCTTTCATCCCTTTCGTGATCCCTTTTAAATCAACAGCAAGTTCTTGTGAAGTAATACCGATGAAATTCTTTATATAGTTTAGAATAGAATGTTATAATATATATATATATTTATATTTATATTAATGTTAATTTTTTATAGTATATCGATATAAAATAAATAATAAAATAAAAATTATATACAAGTAAATCAAGAGTGATGAAACTTACTTGTACAGAACCACTGATTTTAAATCCGACCCAAGCCAAAGTCATAAACGTTACACATACGAAAGCGACCAGAACAAGAATAGCGACCACAGGCAGGAAAACGATTAAACCCACGATTGTAAAGAGGCCTTGAGAGATCACAATACCAACACCAGCTAGAGCCAACACAAATGCAAAAGTTAAAAGAATCCATCCCGCAAAAATAGTGAGAGGGATCGCGTTAAAAGAGAGGATAGTATAGATAAACCAACGAAAAGGTGGGAAATTGATCCTATTCAAAATATATAACTTGCTTAAATTAAATGATTAGAAACTTTGGTGTACTTTAATAAAAATACACGAACCAGAAAGACTTGAATGTATGATAGATCGGTCCTGTTGCGACTTGAATGAAATGAAATGTTTGGGTATAAAGTGATAGAATAATACCATACACTCGACTTCTGACATGCCCCATTGCTTCAGATATACGCATAGATTTTTCCCTGATAGTTTCTGCAACCGGTTCTAATTTTTGTTCGGTCATTCGTTCGATTTCATCGGCCGAATGATGAAGAATTGGTCCTTTTAGTGACATTATTTGAATTATTTGAATTATTTGAATTATTTGAATTATTTGAATTATTTGAAGGAGAGAGTTGATATACTAGTGTGCTACGAATGAAAAAAAGCGAATCAGGTAGAAGGATACTTTTTATATACACATTATGAAAACTAATTTATCACCAAACATTTTGCTATGTTTTATACTGAATCAAATGAAATTTTTACGTATTTGTTTCGTCATGGTTGTGAAGCTTAATTACGTACGGTACTTACGAATGTACATGAGATGATTATATTGTCATGTGATGTTGAAACTGATATAATGAATTCGATGAATCTGGTCTATACGATATCGATATACCTTGTGATCTTGATATAATGATCGGGATATTTACTAAATAAAACACTCGAAATATTAGCACTTCGATATAATGTGAGTTGGGTTTATTTTGAGCCTACTATGTGTCGAATAGTTTTCCGGTTAGTGGTGTAAAGCTCAGCTTTCGCTATGATTTACCACTCGTCTGACTTACTACGACGACCAGAGTATCTTCCACCAAAAGGAATACCGCAAAAACACACAGTTATGACTCAAGCGTTTCTTTCACTAAAGATTATTGTTCTATATATTACAAGATCAATCACGCGTACGTTACACAAACCAGAACTAACCCAGCGCTACGAAATCCAGGGTAACGGTTTAACCCATGTCACTACGGCGATAGTTTTAAAAAAATATATTGGAACTTGTAAAACTATATCAAGAGTTATAGATATTTAACGTTAACGTTAATCATCGAATAGAATATCAAAAGATTTAACTTGTTAAATAAATACAGCATGCCATTTGCTAAAATGCATGCTGGCATGTTGTATATTGTAAATCACAAAATATATAAAATATTTAATTTTGGTTGGATAGTTTTCCTCAAACTCTTCTAAAATACTGAATATCGCATTTAATTAAACCAACTATATTTATATTATTACAAATATTAAGAACTTTTGGGTAATAAATGTTTGATAGCAAAATAACTTTTGATTTATTGGTTGATCTTGTCAAGATAGTTATTTTGTATTAATAGAACTTGTTATCTTTTAATGATATATATGTTGTAAGTGGATTCGGAATTAATATATAAAACCCCGTTTTGTGTTGATTTTATTATATGTAGACCTTAACCCTAAACCTAATTTAAACTAGGAAATTCCAAATTCCATTCCCACTTACAACATATATATACATATATAATATTTATTCACCATTTTACTAATTGTTTTTTATGTTTTTTATGGGGACTTGCGTGTTATTTTTGCAAAACTTAGTTTTAAACTCAGTTGGGGAATAGTCAATTAGTAAAAAGGAGAATAATATATTTTAAAAAGGTGTGAACAACGATTTCCACATACCTATGTGGGGAATCGAAGAATTGGGAAATTATCATTAGTAAAAATTGAAGATCCGATTAGAGCTGGCTTTAAAGTTTTGAAAATCTGGGTAATTTCGTGAATTTCCCGTGATATAGTTATTTGCGTCTGTTCACACCTTTTTTGAAAACAGCTATAATGTATTTATTCCTCGTTACGGGGAATAAAATAACCAATTATTTCCCCAGATTTTTTTTCTTCAGCTCCTATAGGAGCTGAAAAATCTGGGGAAATATTTCATTATTCCCGACGTGCTGGGTGAATAAAGTATAGATATATTATCCTTTAGTTTATTATGATCCGCACCAATTAATAATAATACCACTACTAGACGTGTAAGTGACCAATAACCGCATTACCCGTCAAAGATCTATTAGATGCTATTAGGCTGCGACAGGGTCGAATAGATCTTTATCGAATAAGAACGTTATCGTTATTTGGTTAAATTTTATGCTAATTGTGGCCAATCGTGGCCAATAACTGAATTACCCATCAAAAATTTTATAATTATTGGTCCTACGTAGTGAGTATATACGTACTATATATCTGATACGTATGTATATTATATATAATATATATATATCTGATATATATGTATATATATGTATATATAGTTATATATTAGATATATATATATACTGTATTATCGTTATATATAAACGACATGCCTAATAATATGTCATGATGTCATACACATGAGCCTGTACCACCACAATATCAATCGGTCTTTTGCGTTTGTTTTTTATTGATACAAAATTTCTCCTAAAAAAAATATGACCTACATGCTGCTCTATCGATTGGAACACATTCATTATTGTTACTTTAGGAATGTTTATCAAAAGGTTATTATGTAGGATTAATGAATCATTGGATATCTGTATATCGGAGTATCGGTATACTCCGATCGGATTCCCAAATTTGACAATCCCTCCTCTAATTATTAAAAAAAAAAGATGATCAATATATATATATATGTATATAAATTTTTTAATATTACCTATTATCGCTACTACGGGAATTAGATCTTAAAAGTTATTACGTATAAAGTATGCAGGAGAAAGTTTTTATGAATAAATTCTCAATGCTTAAATAACTAATTTAGATTACATCAGCTTTGGACCTCTTGCAGTATGGGTCCCATTTTATAATTAATCGATTAATACGTAATACATTTTACTAAAAAGAATCACTTATATTACAAAATTGCTTTAAATACAAGCCAACCAACCTAAACTTACAACGCGGTTGGTTTGACTTTTGTGTTACACGTTACACATTGATTGTGTCACAGTAAAAAGAAACGATTTAGTTTATCTGAACTTGGATTTCATGATATATATTTTTTTATAAGGAATATGTACATTAGAAACAGTTTGTTAAATAATTCTAGTCTACCTGTCCAAACCGTCTGGCCAAAGCCGATAATCGATTTACGGCGCATGTTCCATAATCCAAATCCTATTTGGGAACTTTGCTAGGAAAATGACCCTCCGAGACTATGTTGATATTGTGAATAAAAATTAAATTTGCCAGCAAGTTGCTATATTACAGGTTAATATGATCAACTAATTAGATCACAGGATCTTGTATTAGAAATAATTAAGAAAAAAGTAAAAGTTTTAATTTCATTATATAAACTAGTTTTGTGCTTCTAATTAAAGTTTTTAATACTTAATTTTGCATATATATATTTTTTATCAAGAAATTTTTAAATAAGGTACATATTGATTACTATCTGTAAAGGTAAATAATATCAGTTTATATTGATTATAATTAATTGTAATTATTCAAATTTAAATAGTTGCAATTGATTAATATTAATTATAATTAATTGCAATTATTTAGATTTGAAAGATTACAATTGATTATAATTAATATAAATTGATATCAATCATTCCTACAGATAGTAATTGATATGTACTTTATTTAAAAATTTTTGATATCTAATACTAGTTTAAACTCTAGCTCTAATTAATAAAAATTTTAATTGTTTTAAATATATATTAATCTGCTATATCACAATCTGCTAAATTTAATAAATTTTAAAATTTAAACTTTAAAAATTAATTTTTTAACAACTATCTCATCAAATTAAGTCAATTTTTTGTTATTAGTATAAAAATCATTAAATTTTAATATACTAAACTTTTAGAATTTTTAAATATGATTTTGATTTTTTATTAATTTTTAATTAAATCTAATTAATTTTCAATTTTTTATAAAAAAATTATTTAAAACTTTAGTTTTTATTTAAATTTTTTTCTAGTGATTAAAAAATTATCAAAAAAATATACAATCTAGACTAATTATTACTAAATTTTTAAAAAGTTTTAAGGTTATAGCACCTTTCTGTAAGCAAATATAGATGTGAGTTTTTTTGTCTAACACTGTAAAACTATAAATATAATAGCTATTTACATAAAATTTTATTAAAATAACTATCTTTTTTTTTCTATTTAACTAGAAATATTTTAATTAAAAAAATAGTTTTTATTTAATATATAAAATTAATTAGCTTAATAAAATTATATAAATTAAAAATTTAAAAGTAATAAAATTTTAAAATTTTTAAAAATTTTTAAATATAATTTGATTTGGTTTAATTTGATTAAATTAAATTTAAATCAAGATTAATTTGATTTGATCAAATTCAAATATACTTAATATTTAATTTTAAAAAATCTTAATAATTGTTAATCTGTTTAATATAGTTAATAAAATAGTATTGGAGTTTGAATATCTTAAATATTACAAATATTATAAAACTGTAAATTTAAAAAAGTGCTTGTAAAAATTATATAGTTTAATTTAGCTTTGTATTTAATAAAGCTAATATAATATAAAAATATTTGTATTAACTAAATATAGATTATAAAATTGATATTTAATAGTAGGTATAATTACTATTTTAATAATATATTGAATATAAATATTAGTAATATACTTAATATTTACAATTTAAATAAGATTATTATTTTATGGTGACCTATCACCATGGCGACCCTACGATCAACCAATCAAAATCGATCATATAAGTCATGTAACCACTGATCTACAAAGAGCAAATCAGTAAACACGTGACCCATGAGACCGATTTTGATCAGTCGACCACCTCGACATATCATATAACAAAACAAATAACAAAAAAAAGAGCAAATCTATTATTGGGGAACCCCAAAATTTTTTATTTTTTAAAAAACAATCAATGATACATCAATTTAATTTATTTTTGTTAAATGGTATTACTGCATAATGATATCATAACCGCTATATATCCAGTGCCAACTTCGTACTTTATTTAAAAAAAAAAAAAAAAATCCTAATCAAAACTGCAAAATCACCAACATTAAGACGCAAGAAGTATCGAAGCAGAGAAGCAAGAAGCACCGAAGCAGAGAAGCAAGAAAGCACCAAAGCACAGACGCAAGAAAGCACCAAAGTACACAAGAATACACTGAAGCAGAAAAGCAAGAAAGCACCGAAACAGAGAAGCAAAAACACTGACACAGACGCAAAAAAGCACTAAAGTATGCAAGAAGCACCGAAGCAGAGAAGCAAGAAGCACCAAAGCAGAGAAGCAAGAAAGCACTGAAGCACAGACACAAGAAAGCACCGAAGCACAGACACAAGAAAGCACCAAAATACACAAGAAAGCACCAAAGTATGCAAGAATGCACTGAAGCAGAAAACACTGAAACAGAGAAGCAAGAAAGCACCGAAGCAGAGAAGTAAAAAGCACCGAAGCACAGAGGCAAGAAAGCCCAAAGCATGCAAGAAGCATTGAAGCAGAGAAGCAAAAAGCACCAAAGCAGAGAAGCAAGAAAGCACCAAAGCACAAACGCAAGAAAACACTGAAGCACAGATGCAAGAAAGTATGCAAGAAAGCACCAAAATATGCAAGAATGTACTGAAGCAAAGAAGCAAGAAAGCACTAAAGCAGAGAAGCAAGAAGCACCGAAGCAGAGAAGCAAGAAAGCACCGAAGCAGAGAAGCAAGAAAGCACCAAAGTACGCAAGAAGCACTGAAGCAGAGAAGCAAGAAAGCACTGAAGCAGGGAAGAAAAAAAAGTACCAAAACAGAGAAGCAAGAAAGCACAAACACAAGAAAGCACCAAAGTATGCAAGAAAGCACTGAAGCAAAGAAGCAAGAAAGTACCGAAGCAGAGAAGTAAAAAGCACCAAAGCACAGATGCAAGAAAGCACCAAAGCACACAAGAAGCACCAAAGCAGAGAAGCAAGAAGCACCAAAGCAGAGAAGCAAGAAGCACCAAAGCAGAGAAGCAAGAAAGCACCGAAGTACAGACGCAAGAAAGCACCAAAGTATGCAAGAATATACCAAAGTACGCAAGAATGCACTAAAGCAGAGAAGCAAGAAAACACTGAAGCAGAGAAGCAAAAAGCACCAAAGCACAGACGCAAAAAAGCACCAAAGTACGCAAGAAAGCACTAAAGCAAAGAAGCAAGAAAGCACCGAAGCAGAGAAGCAAGAAAGCACTGAAGCAGAGAAGCAAGAAAGCACTGAAGCACAGACACAAGAAAGCACCAAAGTACGCAAGAAGCACTGAAGCAGAGAAGCAAGAAAGCACTAAAGCAGAGAAGAAAAAAGCACCAAAGCAGAGAAGCAAGAAAGCACTGAAGCAGAGAAGCAAGAAAGCACCAAAGCACTGATACAAGAAAGCACTAAACACAGATACAAGAAATGAGAAACACCTAAAAAAAAGAGAAGTTAATACATGTAACAAAAAAACAAAATAGTAAAACAAAACCCGGTCTGATACTTATTCAAAGACTGGTCCTAGCCCTATTTCATAGTACTTATCTGAAACAACGCAATGAAGTCATAAAAGCGAAGCTTGATACCCATTTCCTCTAATAATAAACAAAGAAGCGCCTAAAAAAAGAAAAAAGTTAGTACCTGTAAAAAAAAACCAAACCAACAAAAAAAAAAAAACTAGCAAAAAAAAAAAAACACTGGTACTCTGGCCCAGTTCCATTTCGCATTCTCAGCTTCTGGTTTCAAATGAAGAAATACCTAAAGAAAGAAAAAATTAGCATCAGTGAAAAAAAAAAACAGTCAGCAAAGAAAAAAAAAAAGCCGGTACTTATTTAAAGACCAGCCCCAGCCTCAGTTCTATTTTGCATCTCAACCCCAGCAAGATTTAAAGAAGGTAAGGCAGTATTCTCGCATAGTGCCACTGCTAATGCTTTTCTATCCTCAGAACCAAGCTGATTAGTCGAAGTAGTATTTTTACAAAGCTGATTTCAAATATAATATCTAAAAAAAAGAGAAAAATTAGTAACGGTAATAAAAAAGAAAAAAAAAAAAAAAACTGGACAATACTTATCTAAAGCAGCCTAAAGAAAATCTAAAGATCACAAAATAAAAAAAAAATAAAAAAAATAAATAAATTACCGAAAAAAAACAAATCTAAATCTAATCTAAATCTAAAATAGAACTCCGGCCTGATAAAATAGCATATTCTTATATGATCGATCAATCTTTAATATGATTGGTCATATAGGGTTGCTATAGCGATAAGTTGCCATCTATAATTTTTCTTTAAATAAAATATAGTGAATTTTCAATAATAAATTGTATTTGTTTTAAAAATTTGTTATCAAGTATAAACTAATATTTAAAAAATTTAATTGGTGATTCGCCACTCAACCAGAGAAAGCTTATAGTGTAACATGATGTGATTTATATATAAAAATTAAGGTTTTTGGAATATGAGCTGCTTCTATCTAAAACTTTTTTTCATACTAAGTTAATCACTTTTGGGCTTCTAATTGAAGTTGTAGAGCTTATCGAGACAAATATAATGGTAGTTGAATCATCAAAATTAGCTTTGTAGATTATGAGATATCTTTAAAAAATATTTCACTGACTATGTAAACTTCTTTTTCGACAATACTATTGTTGAAAAGAAGTTTATATAGTCAGCAAAACATTTTTCGAAAATATCTCACAATTCACAAAGCCAATTTTGATGATTCAACCACTATTAGATTCATCTTGATGAGCTCTATAATTTTAATTAGAGGCCCAAAGGTAATTAACTTAGTAAAAAAAAGTTTTAGATAGAAGCAGCTTACATTCCAAAAACCCTAATTTCTATATATAAACCATGTCATGTTATACTATGAGCTCTCTCTGGTTGAGTGGCGAATTACCAATTAAAGATATATAAAAATAGAATATGTTAATTTTAAATAATACAGTCAGAGAATATACCAAAAATAGATATTATAAATCACACCTTTTATGATATAAGAGTATCAATCAAAAAATTCCAGATTTTGTAGCATATAAGCATTAACCAATCAAATTAATCAATACTTAATGAATAGGATTTTACTATACTATTGGTAGTACTTTGTACTCAATTATAATACTATAAAAAGCTAATTATCTACAAATTTAACAAATTAATAAGCTATTAAATATTTAT